TTAAATTAAAAAATATCTACTTTGAAACATCACATGCCAAATAAATTCTAACAAATTATTAACAACTATAAAATCCTTTATAATGCTCTAACATCATACACATCGCATAACAGGATGACGAGAAAATGCATTTCATGTTTGTGTTTTCGGATTTACAATTTTGATAAAAAAAATATTAATATAGGAATGAAAATGCAGGAGAGCAGAGGAAGATTATGCTTTATGTTTCATGCAATGTATTTGTCTATGAAAGCTATAACTGAAATGAAAAGTTTGAGGAAATCTAAAATAAAATTTGATTTCTCCATTTTTATTTTAAATTTTTAAATTTTAGAAAAATCTTAAAAAAATTAAAATTTTAATTTTCAATAAAAATGTAGTTTTATCAAACGTCACCAAAACTAAGCAATTTCAACTCCCAGCCACTCATTCACTTAAACACAAAATTTCAAATATTCATGAGAATTTTCAAGTTCGAATAAATTCATTCATTTGATCCTAATGCTGATGCTTTTGCAACATTCTCATACTCCGACTTCCTATCATTCCAGCTTTTTATTCCTGGTTTATATTCATGAACATTCATGAATAGTTTTTGGCAGATGAAAAGAGCATTCTGCACTTAATACATCATACGAGGATGTGGAGAAATTCATTATTTAATTACCTGAATATTTCTATGTTAGAATGTTATTTATGCTGCAATGCAATTGTGAAATATGCAGGAACAATTATTTTCGTTTTATTATATTTTGAAAATCTATGTTTATGAATTTTTGTAGCAATTTTGAAAATATACAGAACATAGTGAATATGAAGACAGTCTTTAGAGACACAAAATAGCTTTTTTGTTGCTTAAAATAATGAGAAAATAATTTTAAATTTTTTTAAAAGCTTTTCTTATGCTTTTCTGGACATAAATCAAAAAACTTGAAAGCACACTCAATAGAATCACTGACTCGTTTATGAGTCTTGAGCGTGAATATTCTTTTGTGCTATTATTTCGCTAAAAAGAAGTCTAAATGAAAGAAAAATCATAGATCGAGAAAAATTGCGACAGTAACAAGTTTAAAAGATATGAAACATTAATGAATAGTATTATAAATTCATGATAGCGACGGTTCAATTGTTACATTTTACAATAAATTTTCTATATTCATTTAAATTTTTTTCCTGTTCTTTTAAGCGAAATTGTAAATTTTTTTTACAAACTTAAACAAAATTTCCTTAAAAAATTACCAACTTTCCCTTCATTGAACAGGAAAAAATTCCCAATCAAGCACAAAAATACACAAAAATCAATCAAAAACTAAAATTATATAATGTTTTTTTGCTATCGTTGATTTTAAATCTACTGATCGATGAGAGAGAAAAATATTCTAAACAGAAGAAAATTGAATTGCAAATTGGTGAAACAACAATTGATTCGGTACCACGTATTTAATTTCCTATGCTTCGGACAGTGAGAACTGGAATGAAAAAAAAAGTGAGAAAAATTCAAATGAACAAAAAATATTGTTGAAGTAATGGAAGAGGTTGAAATATTTGTGAATTTAACGCAGTTGGAGTGACTTAAGGGCTGGTTGCTAAAATGCATCTTATGACTTAACATTTGGATTCTCTAGTGACTCTAGGGTGGACCCAAGCAGCCACCTTAAGGGTTATAGTAATTTAATAACTCAATATTAATGACCCTCAGTTCAAAACCGTTTTCAGAGCTCTTCTGGATGTATTTTCTTAACATTGACACTAACTTGATATACTTACTTAATTACTTGACACTAAGCTCCTGGAAAAAAATTCAGAATTTGAGCCTTAAAAATAGTTTATTTTATGAAACATTGTTTTAAATAATTAAAAAATTCTCAAGCGTCCATAAAACAACCAATCTCATTTCCACATCAGAACACAAAAATCCTAATATCCATTAGACATTCCACAAAAAAACACTCTCCCAAAACCTTGCCAAAAATAGCAAAAAAATCATCAGCAGCAAAAAAAAATAACAAATTTTTTTGTTATTGAAAAAAGGCATCAGAATCGGAATCCGAAAAGCTTAATGGAAATTTATGCAATGAGAGATGAAAAAAGTGCTTTTAATGTATTATTGAATGATGTGGCATCAAACAGTAAAATACACAAAGTAGATAGACGAGCTGGCCGAAAGGCAAATCAATGATTCAACAATTTTTTAAGCCTCACAAAGAGGATGAGAGGAGTCATAGACACAAAAAAAGCCACAAAAGAGCTTTTCATGCTTAATGAAGTCATAAATTAAATTTTCAACACTTTTCGTGCATGAATGTGAAAAATTTGAATTAAAATTGGGCATTTATGTTGAAAATGAAATTGAGGACCGTAAAGCAGAAATCTTGTAATTAAAGTCTTTGCCATTTAAAATATTTTTCATTAAAACCCTCCTCAGAAGTTAAAGAAAAAACTTTTTATTTCCTCAATCACTGTCGAATCCTTACTTTTTTTTGCAACGCACAGTTCCATTTGCATTTCATAATTTAATTAACTTTTCGGCTTCCTTTTATTTTCATTCACGGCTTCTTCTTTTTTGTTGTAAAACTTTTTTAAAAGTCAAGAGGGTCCGGAAGTTTGGAAATAAAAAGATTCTTTGTAGTAAGTACGCAGTGTGATTTTTGGGATGATGTCTCAGTGTGGCACCTCCAGTTTTGCTACAACATTTCAAGTCACAATTACAAACTTCCCATCAAAAATCAATGCCGCATATTTTAAACCTACAAATTGATTTTTCACATCTCATAACCACCTTCATCCTTACTCTTTCTAAAAACCACCAGGAATGTAACTTTCCAGAGCAATAAAATTTTTATGGACTTTCCTCAGCATTGACTAATTTTTCTCCACTGTTCATTACATCATAAAATTCATTGTCCGTTACATCGAACAATATCCATTGACTATTATGAATCATCACATTTTCAGCATGACTTCTTTTATGACAAAAACAGAAAGAATCTTTTTTGTACTCTCGGTTGTGTGCATCCTTAATAAAAAGTTACACAGAGATCTGACTCGAAGGGACATAAACAAATAAGGAAAAAGGAAAAAAGAAAGGAAATTGATATTTATGGATGAAAGAGAAATGTGATGAAGCTTTTGAAAAAAAAATATGTTGGCTGGAGTTATTAGCTTTTGAGAATTATTTACATATTTGGTAAATGAAGAGGTTCTTTAGAGAATTTTTGTTGATTCTCATTTTTGAGGGGAAGCTTTTTGTAGTTTTTCACGATTTTCTCAAGTTATGTTGATCTTGATGACGTACATTTGATACGATTGGATATAACAGTTATCTAGAAGCATTAATCTAATACAATATTCAAGTTTTAAACTAATACAAGCTACAAGATAACACAACCTACGAGCTCATATAACATCTAATCCATGCTAGTCAGCCAAGCTATTCTATGTGACACAGTAGTCAAGAATCAACAATGCTGAGCAGCAAACGCGTATTCAGGGGGTGGATTTGGGGGACAAATCCGCCTTTATCTTGAGAAATTTCTTCATTTAGCTAGAGTTTTTATGAAAAACTCGAAAAAATACCTCCCCCCCCCCCCTAAAAGTTTTCCATACAAAAAAATTTTTTGTCTCCCCCTCTTCAAATTCCTGGCTATGCCCCTGCTGAGCAGATGCCGGTTTCAAGAGCTGCTCAGAGCACCTTACCTTATCTATATCATAGACCATCAAATTTCACTTTTGCCTTAATGTGTCCCGGATAGACTTAAAAACCGGCCCTAGGTGTATTTTTTGAGGATCAGATGAAGTTGACGAAGCGGGGGAGAGGGGGTAGTTTAGACATTTGCCCACTGGACACTTGCTTTAAAAACAGTCAAGTCTAGAGATATGCAATGGATCATGACAGGAAGTGTGCTTCTTTAAAAGTCTCTTTAAAAATAATAACAATAAAAAATGCAGCGACTATGTTTAATTCCCATTAGATTCCCACAAAAACAAAAATCATTAAATTTCATTCATAATACAAAAATTAATTCCAATTAGAATTCTCGCATTCCCACATCTAAATCAAACAACTGTTACCCTAGTAGACCGACTGTAGATCTGCGATTGCGCAGCAGTATGTGTGTTGAAACGCACACATCTAACCTCAAAACATGATTGTATGTGTTGTTCGAATTCGAAAACATAAGTAACAGACAAAAATAATACAACACAACACAAAACCAGTTGTTTAGTATACCATAAGATCTCAAAGACGTTAGTTCATTCCCGAAATTGTCGCAGCGCAGTGTGAATTTAAAAGAGAATTTAAAATAAAAATACACACAAGTGAGAAAAATATTTCTTATAAGAAAATATGAAACTTGAAATTGAAATTTTTATAAAATAAGACATCCAATGTGAGCCAGTAAATTAGCAATAAGAATTTAAAGTTGGAAAAATTCTTAATTTTGAGAATTTCTTGAAGGAAAAATGGATGGAAAAAAGATTCGTGCAAAAGTGAATGTTGTGTATTTTATATAAAAAAAAAAATTTATATATCTCAAGATTTTTTCCATCATTGTGTGAGTGGTTCATGATTGAATGCAAAAAAAAGTAAATAAAGAAGGTTTTGTGATTGAAATTTTTGGATTCTCAGAAGTTTTTTGAGTAAGAAATTGGAAATTCTTAAACTTTAAATATTTTTAAAATCTTATCCAGCTTGTGTGTAAGACGATAATTCTCTCAAACAAAGCCAGATTGATCAAGTCAATCTTATAAAGATATTCATATTGTCCGCAAAATGTTCGCGCTTATAAAAATATGTGTTCACCTTACTCTCATCTGATTAGTGTTGTATCGTGTTGATATATAGAATTATTAAATTAGTGGAATTTTTACTATTCGCCGAAGAAATTGAAGTTTTGAAAAAATCTCAGATTTTAAATCAAGTTGAAATTTTAAAAAAATCACGATTTTTTAAAAATGTGAATTTTAACGAAAATTTTAACAAAAAAATTCAAAAACTCAAAAAAAGATTTTTTTAACAATTAAGATAAACAGCAAAAATAAAAGTGAATTATAGAAAATCTTTAAAATTTCAAATTTTTTGAAAAAGTGAATCAAAATTAACTATCAAAATATTAATTCAAATCAGTGAAAATCAGTGAATATTTCAAAAACCTACAGGAAAATTTCTCAAATCTCATCAAGAAAGTGAAAAAATCTTAAATCACCTCACAAATAAATCTATAAAAAATGCACACAAAGATAAAAATTTCTCATCATTTTGGCTAGAAAAATATAAAAAAAAGTTCTAAAGTGAAATTTTTATTTAATATTGTGATTCATCCGGGTGATGTTAATCTTAAATGATAATGTCGTGGATTTATGGGATGATTTTCATCCTCATTCAGATATCATCGGATTCAGTGATAAGGAATCAACATGTTGCTTATGCAACTCCATTGCAATCAGGTATGTTTTGCTCTCTTTTTTTTGTTATTTTAAAAGGGGAGTTTTTTTAAGTGTTCTCAAAGGAATTTGAGGATGAAAAATTGTTGTGGATCTGATAAGTTCTTTCTTTGGGGATTTAATGTTGGGAAGAATGTTGCTAGAATTTAGGATGAATTGACATTTAAGGGGTTTATCAGAGACTTTAATGTCAGAGGGGCTTAAACTGAATTTTTGCTACTCAAAATTCAGAAATTCTCAACTAGAAATCCAAGAAAACTCTCACAAAAAAAAATCCAATTTAATAAATTTTCTCTAAATCAAATTTAACAAGCCTCATCCGACTTTCTTTAAACTCGATAAGTATTTGCGGAATATGCTAATTAAAGCAAATTCTTCTGCCACAGAGAAAAGTGAAAATATAATAATAAAATTCATATTCATAAACTCGTCTTAAAAACTCTTTTTTTGTGCGATTATCATAAACTGTGTTTGCGGAATTTTATAAGTTGTCATGTGATTACAATGAAGTGTGAAATTTTTTCTTATTAAATGATATAAAAAAATACTTGAGAAATGAGAAAGAGATGATAATTTGGACAATAATCATTTATGAGGGTTTGGAGGATGTGAAATTGAATTGTTGAAAATATCTTAATTTTTTTCAATTATTTGATCAAAAATTTTTATTTAATGAACTTTTCAACGCCTGATTTGACAATTTTTCAAGATGTGACCACAAAATCGTAACTGTCTACAAGCTAACCCTAATTAATTCGTTATTGATTTAAATTAATTGCCATTTACTAATTTTTAATTAGCAACTTAATCTTTTTCGTGTGTCAAAATAGCTCCACAGCTAGACTTAGCTTAGCTTTCGGCTACGATTTGACCTTAAAACTGATTTTACGTATTTATATAGTAGTTGACAATTTTAGTAAGACGTCATTAAATTAAATCGACATATATATTTTAATTGGACATGCTTTTTATAGAAGTAATCATATAAAGTTATTTTTAAGTCACCATGACCAAGGACAAGATGGATTTTTTTTGGATGTGATTACGTAGGTGAGAAGATTTAATTTCTTGGGAATGGAATTGGAATTTTTAAGTAATTAAGCTAGTGATTCTCAACATTTTTAGTTAAGCTACCTTATAAATGAAACTTTTGCATGTCAATCAGTCACTAAACCTTGTTGATAAGTGACATAACATTTTTAAAGTTTTTGTAACGGCATGGAATTCAATATTGAACTACTTATTAAATGAAATGCAATATCTTCCTGAGATAATGCTTGAATTTGACTCTATTGCTGCCTATAGCTTGCCAATCATCAGTTTCAAGTACAAAACTATCCCAATCGACACTTCATTATCAAATGCCACATTGAATACTATTAATTCCGACCAAAATTCTCTATTCAACAATAAAAATATCCCCCAAACAGAACGCCTAATATTTACCATTTTAATTACTACCCCAGATAATTCAAATTAATTCACCTGACTCTACAAAATAGTTTTCTTTGCATTATTACCTAAAATTCTTTTATCATTCCATTAATCAGCATTATTTTCAGTCACAAAAGACCATTGTGACAGCTATTAAAAATCGAAAGCTCCAAATTATTAGCGCCTGATGGCAAATTTCAGTTACAAGTTAATAACATAATCGATTTATCTATGTTGATATCAAAATTTCGTTGTTATGTGAACAAACAGATTTATGGAACTAATTGAATCAATAAGCTAAAGAGACACGACTAATGAAAAACGAAAAATAATAAAAAAATACATCGAATTTGTTTTCAAAACAATAAAAATAATAATGTTTAATAAGAAGGCCGAAAGCTCTCTTTTGTACAAGAATTATGTCCGATATACAATAAATTACTTTTTGATGTAAATAATGAGAATAATTGTTATTGAATTATGGAAGATTATGATAGTGAAATTAGTGTCGCGGCATTGTTATTAAAAATATTTGATGGAAATAAGACTGTATGGAGTTAATAGGATTGCTTTTATTGGATATATATGGACGGAATAGTGAATTGAGTGTGTGATAGGTCAGGGAGGTATTAAATGCAGGATTTGAAATATTTTTGCGAATTGTAAAAATCCGCATTGATAGTTTTAACCTTAAGGTCAGTAATTTTGACAAAAAATTGAAATAACTTAATTAATGGTTACTTTCAAAGACTAAAATAGATGAAATATAATAGTTTTTGCCATGTTACATCGATTTAAATGTAAAACTAATGCTTGGTAATGGAAAATTTTCGAGAAAAATCAATTCTCCGGATGATTTTTTGAAAAACTTATCTGGAGAATTGCCCCTTAGTAAGGTCAATGGAAATGGTTTTTAAACAATTGTCACAGGTTTCGTGCCTCTTTTTGAAAAGTTTTCCAAAAATACTATAAATTTTCAAATTTATTGACTTCCAAAAACTTCCTCAAGTGATTCCAAAAACTTTTTTTTTATTATTTTATTCATTTTCTTCTCCAAGAACATGCTGCTTCTTGAATAACAAGAATTGCCATTAAAAATTCAACTTTTCTTTCTCCGAGAACAGTTACGAAATAAATCAAAACTTACAAAACTGAGTGTCTTCGAATTCGATAAATTCTTTATTATGTAGGAACAAAATAATTATATAATGAGACTTTTTTTCATCATGCTGTAAATTGTGATTTGCTGCAAAGTTGAGATATTGTGCAATCGGTTGGTTTTGAAAGGTTTTCTTTTTATCGGATGAGGAAGTGTTTTGTATTTAATCGAGAAATGTAAATTAAAATATTAAAGAATTTTTTTTAAAAGAATTTTGAGTGTTTAAAAAATTAAGAATTTTATGAATGAAAAAAATTCAAATTTTTAAAATTCAATGATGGGCGATTCCATGAGTGAATTTTTTTTTCTGAACTCAATTTTTTGTAAATATTTCCTTAATTAACTTCATTTAACGCCATATTTAAGATTTATTTTATTTGTTATTATGGTATATATGTATTTTAGTGCATAATCTTTTAGTTAAATCTGTCTGACAAAAGATATTTTAAAAAAACCAAACTTAATCGGTCAACTTTACGAAAAATTGATTTTTAAATTTTCATCAATATTTCTTCGAATATCCATTGTTGTGTTACAAATCTATGATAAACACACGTGAAATCGTCTGTGCTTTATAACAATATCTTATTTGTATGTCTTTCTACTGTAATTAAGGAGAAAATTGGGGAAAACACCACTTAATCGGTCAACTTTCAACCGATTATTGCAAAACATATTACATATTTTTGTCAAAATGCAGCATAATTAAGACTATTAAATGCTAATAACACATGAATTGATGAATAATAAGTCTTATTAAGTGAAAATATATGTTGAAATATGTATATTTAAGCAGAAAAATCTAAAAAAGTTTTTGAACAAAAAATTTTCAGTTCCATTTACTCATGGAATCGCCCTGATTTAAAAATCCAAAAATTATTTTAGTTTCAAAATAAATTAATTTTAAATGTTTCAAAAAAAAATACAAACTTAAAACAAAAAAACCTTAAAATAAATTTTTGCCAATAAAATCCAGAAAAACACAAATTTTAAAAAATTCATTGTAAATATAAATTTTAAATTTTTGACTCCAAAAACTCCAAAAAAAATTTCAATTTTACAACAATTTTAAATTTCTTTAAAAAATTAAGAAACAAAATTTTAAAATTCAAAAAATATTTTAAAAACATTAAACAATTGATTTTTGTCAACAGAATCCAGAAAAAATCACAAATTTTAAAAAATTCCAAATTAGACATTTCAGTTCCATTCCAACTCTTTATTTCTCACTGCATGTCTAATTTCATACCTCAAAAAACGTCAGCTTACGAAATCAGATACTTATTTACCACTTACTTCGTTACTTCAATAGATTCAATTGTATATCTTGAGCTATCTATCTCTCATTTCTATTTATTTTTCCTGCTTCGTATTTTATTGTTGTTACTTTACTTGTGATTTTCGAGAGAGAATAATAAGAGTAGATATTCACATTAGTGTATGTACAATAATATCTTTATGTATTAAACATTTTTTTTAAATGTATTTTCATCCATTTCTTGTTTCTATTTCTTCGTTTTATGTCTTCTGCATGCAGACACTCATGGAAATAAAAAAAGAACTTTTTTCTCACCTCTTTTGCTTTTTTTAAGTTTTCTTACAGCTTGCAAAAATGTACAGAAATTGAATGAAGGAGACAGTTCGTGCCAGACATTTTCCATTTCATCTCTTCATGTTCTTGAAGTGTGCATCACAAGAGACTTTTGGTTCTCAGATAGAAAGATGATTATGACTGTGAAATGAGAGAAGAAAAAGGAAGATTTTTTTTTCTTTATTTTTCTGTCTTATCTGATGAATTGAGGATGCAGAAGAGAGAAAAGAAAAGGAAAATTTATGAGGCGAATGGACTTCAAAAATGAAAATATTTTTCATTGTCCTAAAGGTATTGTTGCCAACAAATGAGCAATCTTGGATTTTTAAGAAAATTTATTACGAAAACTTGGTTAATAGGTTTGGGGAGATTGAGTACTGGACACTATTGCCACTTTTCAAGAATTCTTACAATTTCCAGATGAGTATTTTAACTCACAGACTTTGTCAAAAACTCGACATACTTACTTACTTCCTTCGATGACCTTACAGATCAATTGTGATCCATATCCTCCCTCAGATACCGCCTAAAACTGGCTCTATCGCTGGCTACCGTTTGCCTCTATCAACAGCCTCTTTCCATGAGTTCTTTGGACTTCCACATGCTCTTTTTCCATCCATAACAAAAACTCGACAAAATTTTTTATAAAATTCTCACTTTTTTTCATGCCATCTTCACACAAAACTATAATATTCCCCTCCAGTCAGTCTTATCATCTTCCATTGTACACTAGAGAAGGAAGAACAGAATAAGAGACAGTCTCGTTCATTTGTCGCGTGAATGATGAAATTAAGTGAGCACTCTGTAATGATACAAATG